ATATAGAAAAACGTTGTTATTTTATTCAATCAGTACCCTAAATAACATCCTTTCAGTCCAGCAAACTGTCGATGTTTATAGTAAAATGAATATATGAAGATATAATAAACCAATTAAAGTACTTTCGTGCGTGAGCGTACCGATGTGGAAATAAACCCTCTTCGACAACAACTTCAGCCAGTGTCCTTTTCACGTGACGTGACCTATAGCGCCCTCTATCCGCCACCGCCGTTCACTTTATCGTATCTATTTAATAAAGTGCGCAAAATTGAGACAGAAAGTGCTTTGAGATAGTGCGCGAAGTATTTTTAGCAAAGGCGGGACGGTGAAGGCACGCACCCACCTACCACTTACCAAGTTTAGCCAGACGTTGGTCGTCAGAATTTGGTTTTTCTCATCCTTTTATAAACGATAGCGCGGCGACACGTGGCACAAAAACAACAAATATTATTTCTGAGCACAGAAATTGTAACGGTTCATATTTTATATTAACATTTTATTTAATTATCAATTCTGTTTGTTACATCGTCTTTTTAAAACTATTTAGAAATATACACACACATATAAATGAATTTATATTCAAATTCAAAACGTTTATTGCCATTTTAAGATTTACGTTTCGGATTTTAGTTTTACAGTTTTGTCTTTAGCGAGCTTATTTATTTAAATTTGTATTATATTATACCTTTATTCCTACGTTTTTTTCTATTGTATACTAATTATTTTGGCAAGTATTGTTTAAACTTTATATTGCAGAATTATTGTAATATTATTATATTTAAATGTATGGTGCACTTCGTCATTTTGTGCTGAAATTGTAACATCGAATATGAAATGCTGAGAATTTTAATATTAATGCCATGGAAGCGAGTTTCAGAGCAAAAGTGCAAAATGAAAGCACAAAGTAGGTTTAATATCGTCGATTCCTATACAAGCCGTGAGTCTTATAAAATAATGGTGCAGCATCAAAGAGATCACTTTAAAATACATTATTAGTTTAATAGCTGGCTTTTACGTAAGGTCATGTCGCTTTGACGTTAAATTTTAAGGAAATAATAAAGTTAAATTCGGTTACTGACTGTCATATTTTTATAAAACATAATAAACCTAACTTAACTAAAACACTTTAACGATTTAGTATGTGAAATTTTATTTTAAACGTATTTTTGTTTAATTCAATATTATTGGTCAAGGGGTCGTCACACACTGCTATAAAACTCGTAAAGGTCGTAGTTAAAATAAATAAAAAATAGGGTGAAGTAATATATTTTGCGTTTTAAACCTTAAAAAGTTTATTTACGCGAACAGTACAAGGTGTACTGCTAACTGCTATTTTTTTCAAATGTAAGGGGAGGAGAATTACAAGTAATAAGGTTAGACTTCAGAACATCGGTTAACAAACGTAAAAAGTAATGAGAACTGTACATTCATAGAATTACCTATCTTGTATATTATGTTAGACTCTAAACGTTGATTCCATTTTCGAATATATTTTTTAATGTATAAACATCTGCCTTGTTTAGGCTTAGCGTACACTCCGTGAATTAAACATTATTTTGTTTTTATTTATACAAAAGATAAAAAGGTTCCGGAAGAAACCTCACGTTGCCGTTATTAAAATCAGAGCTTAGAACACACGCGAAGCCTAACATAAATCGGAATAAAACTCCGTATCTTCACGCTTCGAGGAGCAAAGCTAAATCTTTTCAAGAGAAAATGCCTTTAACGCTCCTAACGCCTGCGGCTCAACAATCTCAAAGAATCCTTCATCGTGTAAGCCACTCGACACGATACATCGCCGCAAGAGTGTTCGCAACTTTTTACATTTCTACATCTGTAAGGCGGGCGAGATACGAGGCTGATGAATTATACTAGATTCTGACCGCGCGATTGTGTTTCTGTAGCGAAAATATTTAGTATAAAATTAAAATGTCATGTTTAAACTGATAAAAATTTTAACCTTTACAATATTAATAGCTTGTATGATACAAATGTATGAGGTTTTTGAGGTTATAATTACATAAGTATTGTGTTATAAGTTTCACATTCAAAAGCATTCGTGTTGTCTTTTATATGATTTTTATTGTATTATTGTAAGTCTTCTTTAATTTATTTAACTCTATACCAGAGCAAAAATTCCAAATTGATTATCAAATTTATTTGAAAAAAAATCTTCAAATAAAATTGCTTTTATCATACGCATAAGTATTCGTTTCTTCAGAAAAAAATAAATAATAAATCATGTACCTCTTTTATACTAAAATACAGTTATTCTCGTTAAATAACTAAGACTTACAATAATACAATAAAAAACATACAAAAGACAAAACAAATGCTAGTCCCTAAAATCCTTCTTCGGACTCTCATGTACGTAGCCAACAGGATGTTCAGATTTTATTCGACGTGTTGACACCGTCTTTGAGCACTTGACTCAAAGAGATTAAAGTGCTTAACTTTATGATACTACATGCAAGCTCCTTAACGAGAATAAATTTTGTACAAAAGGTTTTAAGAGAAACAAGAAGTATTATGGAATATTCCTTTATCAAGCTTTAATAACTTGAGTTACCTCAAGTGTATATGTTAAAGCTATAGTTGAGGGTATCAAAATAAAGTGTTTTTTTTAGGAAAAAGTTTTTTAAGTAAAATCCCTAATCATACTGTTTATGAAAATCAACGATGTTTGTGCATTAATGTTTTTTTTATGACAATGTTACAGATGTCTTACAATGATAATGGCCTTTGACACGGTTCATGTTTCATTTAAGGCAGAATAAAGCACGTAAAATATTTATACGCCCAAGAATCAAACCTACAACGTGTACCGCTAGATAAAAACTACACTTGGTTCGGTAGATGTTAAATGAAATCCTACATGTTTGCTCGAAATTGAAAACTGGATTTCCATTTTGTAATCACATCTGTCGGTTCTCAGCAAACACGAATCTATTAAGTGAATATGTAACATTTCAACTTGCTGTTTAAATTGCTGTTTGCAACTACACCGTTTCATTTAAACCTTTTTCCCAGTTTCCATTTAGTTTGCGCTCACAGTTCACAGAAGCTAATTCAAATCCCTCATTAAAATAGGCTAGGACTTTAATAGTTGCGTTTAAGAGATATACACCGTTGGAACTCAAACCTACGATAGTCGTCCTTATCAATCGACCTACCTTTTAAATCTATGTAGTTCTTTGATACTATTTGCTTATATTGATGTAAGTCCTGTTTAAAAATTAAAAATATTCCATGACCATTAAGATTTTATTGTAAGATAGTTGTATCGTCATTAAAAGTGTATCTACGAAGCTTATAATGATATCCACCAAAACAAACAAATAACCTACGTGAGTAAAACTATCTGAAACATAAATTATAATTACTCAAACCTCGCTTCCATTGGCGTTTATTATGTTTCAATCGTAAAATGAATAATTTCGTTCTTCATTTATTAAATTTCACGGCGGCTATTTTGTTTTTAAATAGCATTTATTATAAAAGATGACATTATCATACATTTTGCTATTATATATTTTCGACATTTTAAATTCTTTGTTTATGTTTAATTATAATTATTTTGATTTTATTTCAAATAAACGTATTTACGAATTTATTTTTATTTATAAAGATTTTTATTTAAAAAGATTTATTCGCGATTTTTATACCACCATCTGTTAGTAAAAAATAGAATTACATATTTACATTCCAAAACATAACTCACAAAGTTTAATAAACTTTTTTATTAAATAGTTGACTTTACTATAACTTAACTTATCATTAAAATTTACGGGTTATGTATAAGTTATGTTTTAGAACTTTTAAATTATTTTCTTGTCGGTGGTAATTCGTTGAAAACTTTTAACGTTGCTTATAAATTGAATTCATAAAAAAATTAAAAATCCAAAAAGTGTTCAACAAAGATTTTGGTACATCCTGTAACTCATAGGAAATGTAATTAGTGTCATCATGAAATATATAAACATGATTAATATTATTTTGTAAAACGCAATGTTACTATTAATAATTAAATTTACCATTCCCAAAAAATAGCTCATTGTTTTTACAAACATAGCTCCAATAAAATATACGAATAACTCTCCCGTAAAAATCACAAATGAAAAGAGGGATTCAAACGAATAAACCTATAGGCATAATGTTTTAATTTTGAACAGCTCGATTTTACGCGGAATTCTTTACCACCTCGAATTTTACGGGAACTTTTGCAAAAGCTTAATAATTTACGCGGAATCATTTCCAACTGAGTCTTTCGCGTTTTCGGAATGGAACATTGCGTTTTACAATTGAGGTTATATATACTTGTGTGTGTACATACCACGTCAATGATTTGCTGTAACGTGAGTCCGAATTTGACCTCGAGCGGTTCGCTTTCGTTCGCGACTGGCCGTTCAAGCGTGTTGTATGAAGCTAGCAAAGCGTTCAGCAGCCTTTTCTCATGCGGCCCTTGTTCCGACACTGGAAAATAAAAATAAAAACGTGCTATTATGGACTAATGTAATCTTAACTTAATCTAAATAAAATTAAATAGTGTCAATTTATTTAAGCTCCGCCATCTTGAGATGTGATCAATGCATTTTATTTCAAAGTGGCATAATAAAAAAAAACTTGATCTTCAATAACAGGGGTGATAAAAATTCGCAATTAATTTAGGCGAAAGTGAATTTGGACTATAATTTGTGTAAATAATGTTAACAATTTTCGGTCACTGTGCGCTTGTAGATTAACATTTTAGACTATAAATATATAAGTAACTAACGTCATAAAATTGCAATTAGTTACTCTGCCTTTAGCGGCCACATTTCACGTACGTATTTCAGTTTTGTTTTGATTTGTTTTCATTAGTCTTAGAATTACCTCCACGACTCTGAATACGACACAAAATACAAGGTCAATAATAATCTCAAAAGAGTCTCTCCACATAAGCGGTGCATGAAAGTTTTATAAACTGCGTGCGAAGTGCCTACCTTGCGACTAAATTAATAATGAAAGACGGACAAACGGCCGACGAGACACAAAGGCGACCTCAACAAATTGAGCAAATCCTGGAGACAGTGGAAACGACCCACATTTCAAGTAACGGCTATATAAACTCCCTGGCCACACCTGGACCACAAGTTATGAGAGTTCTTAGCGCCAGGACGGAGGGCACAAATCGGCTTAGCACGCCTATCGAGTTCGCTAGGGCTGCCAATAATTCCTGGATTAATGTCGCCCTACGTCCAGAGTATTGGATAAGAGGAAGACTTTCCTAATCACAAACAACATAAATATCTTAGAGTAAAAGCACTTAGAATTACCCATACCTTTTTAAAATTAGCTATTATATATTAATTACTAGCTGACCCGGCAAACGTTGTTTTGCCATATAAATAATTTTACTAAATTGGCTATTAAAAAATAAGGGTTAATCGTAGAAGGGTGAAAATTGAGGACTGTATGTATTTTTGTATGTTGTATCATTAAAAAATAAGAAATTAAAAATTTTGTCTAAAAAATAAAAAAAAAAACATTAAGGGGGATGAAAAATAGATGTTGGATTCTCATAGATACCGGATAAGCACAAAAAATTCATCAAAATCGGTCAAGCCGTTTCGGAGGAGTATGGCGACGAAAACTGGGACACTAGAATTTAATATATTAGATTATTTTCGCACTCACAAAATATAAAGGAATCACTTCATTAATGGTGTTATGTAGATTTTTGTAATTTGCTTTAAATTATTATTTCTTTGAAAGAGTCTATTGGTTTACCCGCTTTTTTTATAATATCTCTGTTCATAATGACTCTGATCTATCTTATTAAGCTATAAAAATCATTTAATAAGGCTATTAAATATATTAATATAGGTATACGCCTATAACCATACCTTTTAATATAAAATTTATACATTGAAAACTTAATATGATATGATGGGAATAAACTAACATCTTTTAGTAACAACACATATATAGAAGGACATAACTTTTACTTGTTTCACATTTGACATTTGTCACATACGGTTCGACGCCAAGTAAGTTTATTGCCCAAATAATAGGAAATGTCCCAACTCTAGTACCAGCAATAAACACTCATTTTCGGGCTCAAATCGCTCTTATACACTTGACGTATGAAGGTAGCAGGTGTAAAAGAGATAGGTGCTATTCCTAATCCAAGGGTTTCCAGGTGGACGAGGGATAGATGTATGCAGTAATCCAGGTGATTTAGGAAGCTCCGTGTTTGATATAATGGCCTCTTTTACGAAGTAATAGTTTTCCGTGCGTTGGCCTTTTCAATTAAGTAAGAGTTATTTAGAGGGATGTAGGATCATCTGTTCGGGCTAGTAGTACTCCACGAGAGATTTCCAAGAAAACCTAAGTTATTGATCTTGTATAAATCAACTGACTGCGTTCATACATTTATTATGGGACTAATGGACTAATGGGACTATGGGAAAGACACTATGTAAATTATTTGTGTGCGTATTTCTGAAATAATACCTAAAACCAAAGACTTATTCACACGAGGAATTGTTTGTAGCGTAAGCGAATTGTACACATTTGTACAGTTTAAAACGCGAAATATAATCGTTTGGGGCGTATTGTTACAAAATATATCGCACATTTTATATATTTATACCGTATAACTGTAATACATTTTTAATTATATAATGACAAAAACTTAACATTAAACACTTAACGTTAATAATGTTAAAATTGTGACGTAATTATATTACATGTTTATTTATAAAGAAAATATGTGTGATATATTTTTGTAACAATACGCCACAGATACTCCCCTCCAAATATATAGTTTAGCTTTGTAGAGACCCGTCTTTTGCTACTGTTTCCATTTTGAAGGATTAATCTTTGATATTGTGTGATTTATGTGCATAATGAACACGTCTGCACTAATAGCAATTCACTTGCTAATGCCTCTTAATTGAATTTAATTGCAGTTTCGATGACTGTTTGGACGTATATCGATCGTTTAGTATTAAGAAACCTATAAGGTAAATAATGTAGCGTTCACTTAACGGTAGCTCAAATATATACTGGGGGTATCTAAAAAGATCTGCTCCCCACCTTTTTTTTTACTTTGGATATTAGGAAATCCACAGATTGCAACTGAAACGCGATTAAACTACACGGCTTTATAATATTAAACAATTTTTTTTTCACTGAACTAAACACATATAATATGTTAGTAAACATTATATAAGTTATGTTCCTAACACGATGAAAATTTTTAATAGAAATAAAACATCGAAAAAATAATAAAAGCGTACATTAATACGTGAACTAAAGGTATCAAGCTTAGCTAATGCTTCCCTGTCTTGTTGTCTATACTGTCTGTAAATATACACAGTTTTAGTAATCTTGAATGAAATTGATAAGGATTATCTAGTCACATAATATAATGGCTGGGACGTTTACATTAACGCTTAAGAAATTATGAACAAGAAGACAATACGTATATTTGAAGTGAATTCATAGATAGTAGAGTGTAGTTTGCTATGGGCTAGGCCAAACTCAGGTAAACAATAACAGGCTATTGTCCATCGATCGATTGATGCAAAACCAAAACATGGACAGGAGTGGGCCATGTTTGATTAGCTCTAGTGTATACTCATCTCAAACATCAATTCAAAAGATCTTACTAAAAATATACTTTGCAATTAAATATACTAAGTATTGTCTATAGTTTGTGGAAGCAGGAGACATTTTAACAAAACACTTTCAATAGTTTAAAACGCGAAATATATTAGTTAACTTATTTATTATTTAAATAAAACACTTTAACGGTTTAAAACGCGATATATTAGTTAAACTTATTCGAAAATGATTCTTAACTTCGGCCCGCCGTTTCGGATGCTTTGCTAAACTTATATAGTGCGTTTTAAACCGTTAAAGTGTTTCACTTAAATGTGTACTACTCGCGTAAACTATAGACAGTATTTATTTATTATGTTTTAGACGCCCGACGATAACGAAATTGGGGGTCAAACATCCAAAACATCGTTTCGTAAAAATAAATTATACATAAGTTAAAACCGGAAAAGTATCTTGTTTAAGTAAAAATAGTCTACTAATCCTAAGATTGTCAAATGGCCACACGAATTAAACTTGCTCAATCTAGAGTTTCGTATTTAAGCTCCGGAAAACTATTGTTCTACATACAAGAGACATCCCAACATAAGCTAAGGAAAGTTCCTTTATGCACTTCAGGTCCAAGTGTCTGAAATTCGCGTCTAGTCTATTTGAGAGCACAAAGGGTTAATTAAACCGTCACCTCGGAGTAACATTCTGAACACCGTGTATAGGTGTCCATCAAAGCAACTTCGTGTTTCTCTCTTGCATTCAACTGTTTGTAAGGTCTCTTAAGACGGTGGAAATTTACATTACTACTTATAATTTTTTTTTTGAGAACCTAATTAATGGAAGAAGATCTCAGTCGTTTAAAACGTATCACGTTTGTTTCCATTCATTAATTACATTACTGCATTTGTAAAATAATATAAACCCGGGTAATTATTTTACTATAACTTTTTTGTATGATAACGGAGGACAGACAAGGTTCGCTTTTTGTTGTTGAAATACCCCTAGCTATATAACATCTAACCAACATACGCTATATACATTTAAAACCAATTGGGCTACCGTATAGTTAGAGCAATAGCACGGAACGCTGACGATGCCGGTTCAAGTCCTTCCCGAGTCGTATTTTTTTTTTTCAATTTATTTTCGATTTTGAATTTATATAGTGCCATCACGTGCGGAAATACTAAAGTTTTCAAACAAGATACGCAATCAACCTATTTTGGAAACCGATTAAACTTGACGGCTTTTTCATCTGTGGACCCGGACGGAATTTCACAATTGATTCGACTTCTAATTATTTCACTGATTTTCCCGTTCCCGCTCCACAAAGGATAACACCTCCCTCGCTATTTAATAACTACTTTTTCAATTCACTATTAACATAGTAAACAGACCTATCATAGATGATAGACGCATTTCATATATCAAGCGGAAAGGAAACACGGCAGCGGTTTGCAGCGCAGCGGCTGAAAATAATTACACAAGAGCTCTTTAGACAGGCAATTATTATCTTCCTGCGAGCTACTATTGTGAGATAAAAACGTTCTGAATGCATAAGAGTGCACTTTGATGTGTTCTCATCGGAAATATTTAGATATTATGTGGGTTTAATTACTTATAGCGGTTGAAAGATGAAAAAATATTTTATTGTTTAAAACGCGATATAATTAAACTTATTAGTAAATATTTACTTACGTTAACTGCGTCCCGACGTTTCGGATGCTATATACATCGCGTTTAAAACCGTTAAAATGATTTAATTTAAATGTGTACTACTCGCGTAAACTACAGACAGTATTTTATATTTTATTGTGTAAAATTTTGATTTGTTACTCAAAATATTAAGAAAGAAACCATTCTCAACAATAGATATACAAAGGCGTAATCCTAGATTTGAGAACAGCGCAAAAAAACTTGTGAACAGCGAAACTTGTGAAATAAATCTACAATAGTACTAGTGCTCTTGTCCGCTCGTAAGCTGGGGACTTAACAGACCTACATCGTGAGTTACTCTAATCCTTTCATGTGCTCCTAGTAGTCTGTAGTCTTTAAAGAACCTATTTCATTCCTATAGGTAGGTCTTTTATACCTAAAATGTATTTAAATAAAACACTTTAACGGTTTAAAACGCGATATATTAGTTAAACTTATTTGAAAATGATTTTTAACTTCGGCCCGACGTTTCGGATGCTTTGCAGCAGCCGTGGTCACGGGGAGACTAAAGATGGAGGATGTCTCAGACGTCAAAGTAAAGAATTGCTACGCTAGCGCCATCTGTTCCGTCGAAGTTGGTATTTGGCGAAACTGGCCGGGTCCTTACAGAATTGACTAACGGTGTCTTCGCGTTTGCTGGTATGCTGTTTATTGGGATCCAGAGTTTTTAATATGGGATCCCAGGTGTTTGATAGTTTGAGGCCGTCCTCCCTATTGAAATTTCGGTGTTTTTTGATTTCAATTGCTTCGCGTACCAATCTTGGAAAAAATCGACTCTCCTTTGCGAGGATTTTTGGTTGGTCAAAGCGAATGTAGTGATTGGGCCCTTCTGATGAGTGTTGGCATACCGCAGATTTGGAGAGACGTTTATGTTTTATATCCGCGACGTGTTCTTTAATTCTGTTTGAGATGCTACGCTTTGTTTGGCCGATGTAGGATAGGCCACAATCACAATCCAGTC